ACTAATGGTACAGTTCTTCTCCGTCGCGCAAAAGCAGGACTTTTTGTCTACTGCAACATCTTCTCCCGGTACTTCAGAAACTCCCTGACGCGCATCTCATGCGCCTCACATGCAGCCATCCACTTCTGCCGCACGATTTTGTCCTCCTCGCACCACTGGAGGTACTTCCGCAGCCCCGCATCACCACGCACCTCGACCCAGTTGAACCCGGTTTGCCTCTTGCTCTCGTCAATGATGTTCTTCCTCGCGACGAAGTGGTTCGTCACCGAGGCGTTCCAGTCGGCAAAGTCCTCCATGTACTGGTGGAACTCGTGAACGTACTTGGCCCAGCTGTCCTGGCTGGGTTTTAGGGTCGAGACGGCGAGGACTGGTGGCGGGCGCGGCGACTTCGGACACGGCGGGACGGGCACCGATGTCTTCGTGGCCACTTCTCCGAGGTTGAGGGTTGGAGCTGCCTTGCTCTCGAATGGCAGTGTCGATTTCAGATCGCCGAGCGAACCTAGGCCGCTGGATTGCGGTGCAAAAGCGTTCTTCATGTCGGTGAAGAGGAAGGCACTGGTGTCTTCGGAACCCATCCTATTGGGGTCGGGAGATGTCTTCGCCTCCGCTTCTCCGACAGCAGCCACACCGGCGCGCCATTCGGGCTTTGACGGCTCCACGGGAATGTTCCTCGCCACCTTCGGCTCATTGGTCTTCTTCTCTAGCTCCGGAGGCGGCGTGTCAATGTCCATGGCAACGGGACTATCTGCCGCGGAAGGTGCGGTGTTATCGGCACTGCCCATGGCCGTGCCTGGTCGCGTTTTGTCCTCACTGCTGCTACTCTCGTCCTCATCAACTAGACCTGCCGTGCCAGCCGTCATGCGGACAGGTTTCGCCTTCTTGATTGGGCGATTCAGCTTCGTGGGTGATGATGAAGCGTTCCTAGGTGGTGGTCGTGGTACAAAAGCCTCCGGGCCGATCTTCTCAGTCCACTGGGCAGCATCAAAACCGCTCTCCGTCTGTTGCTGGCCATTTAGCTGCGGGTCAGGTCCCGACTCCTGGGTCATGCTCGGAGGCACGTCCTTCCTAGGGGACTGTGTCCCACGGCGCGTGGCCCTCTGCGCGCGCTTCTTAGCAGCGATGAAGGCATCCTCATCACCCCGTGGGGCATTGAATTGCCAGTCGTTAGCGGAGAAGTTGTCAGCCACAAATCTAGTGTTAATACTGTCGGCACTCTTCCGCATGAATCGCTGTTGCTCGGTCGTCGGGGTAAATGTATCGTCGTCGACCGTCATTCCGAAACTATATGGCGCACTTCCGTCAGCATGCTTCTTCGCTGGAGACTGATTTCCAGATGAGGAGTCTGGCGATGACTTTGCAAAATCATGGGACCTCTTCTTCATGTTCAGAAGCTCGTGTAGCTGCCGCGCTTGTTTGGCTTCGACAGACTCATTGTATGGGGCGCTTGCTTGAGGTGAGCCACTTGGATAGACACTTGTGAGCAAGCCATGGACATCTTGAGAGAGGCCGCGATTCTGGGGGCGCATTGATTCCGCCTCGGCGAACTTCTTGGGGTGGTAGGTCTTCGAGCGATAGCCAAGGCCGAGATGACCACACGAAAAACCAAACTTTGACTGCTGGGGAACGCGCTGGGAGGAAAGGGGAGGGCGCTCATACACTGTAGGTCCGTTTGACGTTTTGGTTGATGTATCTGCAGTATGGGGATCTGTTCAATGTGTCAGTATGCATCTTGCAAGCCATAGTTCAAGCCGAAGTTCAACCCAACTCACTGTTCTGGTTCACAGGATCCGCCCCAGGATTTACACCCGCATTCTTGGTAGGCGTGTACTTGTGGTCAGCTCGGCTCCTGCCGGGAGAACGCACAGGGTCTGACTCGTCCGGAACACTCGCGCTCCGTCGCCTAGATGGCGGACTGGTTGGTTGGCTGCTGTTGCCCGAGACCGACCCATAACGAAGGTTGTCTCTAACACTCCTTCCGCGGTTAAGGTTGGTCCCGTCGAATGGGTTGAACTTCTCGCCGGTATGGGTGGAATATGGCGTCCTTTGCCGGCCGTCGACGAATGTCTCCTGGAACTGCTTGCTGAGCGGATCGATATAGTCAGATCCTGTTTCGGCCTGCTTGGCTGCTTCAGCTGCCTGGCTGAAGACATTGGTCCTTCGTGTCGTATACGAGCTACTGGAGGCAGGTCGCTCGTCCTGCGTTGAGTTGGTGAAATTCGTCCTCCTCGTGCCAAAGGATGCATCAGCCTTCTTCTTCTGAGCTTCTGACCGTGGAGGTGGTGGCGGCGGATCCATCGGCCTGGTTGGTGTCCTACGCGAACCAGTGTTCGATGTGGACTGCGAGGTAGATGTGGCGTGATGGCTCTGCCTGTTCGAACCCGGTCTCATCCTGTCCCATGCGCGCGCTGCGGCGTTTGGATCTTCGCGAGGAGACCTCTGTGGTGCCGGCGGTGTCTGCCATGAAGTATATCGCGAGGCAGCACTTGGGCGTGTCGGCATCGGCGGGCGCCTCGGTGGCGGAGGGAAGTTGCTGCCAGCATCTGACCAGGGATTGCCCCTCACTCCAGACGCTGTCGGGTAGCGGGATCCTGTGCTCTTCCGGTGCGCATCGTACTTAGCCTTTGCCTCCGGATTCGTGAGAATCTCGTGCGCAGACTGGATAGTCTGGAACTTCGAGTTGACCTCGGTTTCCCTTCCGGGATTTCGATCTGGGTGGTATATGAGGGCTTTGTCTAGGTTAGCCATGAGGCGTGCGAGCAAGGAAGATATGCGCCGTACCTAGTTTTCGGAACTGCTTCTTGACTTCGATGATGTCAGCGGTGCGCGGCAGTTCAAGGTCCGCATAGTAGTCCCGACTCATATCGGGCTTCATTTTGTCCGATTCCTGCGACGCCAGCTTGGGACGTCAGATGAGAAAGTTGCGGGAGTTGACGGTAGGAGAGATTGGATATTGGTTGTGATCGCTTGCTCGTCATCGATGTAGCCGTAACCGTAGTACTCGAATGAAGGTTGACAGATAGATGCGTCAGATAGTTGCTCCCATATCCGGTGATGTCGGTGTCCAAGAAGCCCCGTTGTTGACCCAAGCTACAGGATCTAGTGATGTCCAATGAAGGCGGGTGATGGCAAGCCTCGGGATTGTTCCGTGGAAGAAGCAAGCAGTCGAATATCAGACTGAGGGAACGAGGGTCGCAGTCTTGTCTTTCTTGTATCTTGCGCTCAATCTCAGACAGCTACAGCGCTGTTAGCAGCTGCGAGACTTGGACGAACGCTCGGAATGGCGGTTAGCGGCGGCAGACGGAGGCTCTTGGTGAACGGCGCGAAGTCGGAGAATAAGAAGGTTCGAGAGAGTTGGAAGAGGGAAGAGAAAAGAGAAAAGATGGGTATCGACGTGCTTCTCGTTGCGGTCGCAAGGTTGAGGCGTAGCAGCGCAAACGAAGCGGCGATGGAGGTTAAGTTTTCGGTCGTCGAGTAGGGTTTGGAAGAGCATGAAAGGTTCGCAGAACGAAGTTGAGGGGTCGGGATCGGAGACAGAAGTGATTGATGTGAAGTAAATGTAAAAGCGAACAGATCCCGTGAACTATTGTGCCAGCAGCAAGTTGTCAGCCGTGGTGAAGAGAAGTTATTGGTTCCTCACCGTCACTTGAGGAAGTGCGATTCGTGGAGAGACTTTGTGACTCTCTGATTGGACGGCGGCAGCAGCTGAAGGGACGAACCTAAGTGAATCCAGAGACTCGGGATGACGTACTTACTGCTTTCTGTGCCCAAAGCACCTGCAGTAGAAGGCCCGGGCGGGATGGATCTGTAATCTGTCCTACAGCAAGGTGTAAGTTGATAAGGCAGTTTCCTGCAGTGAGATCAGGACGGCGTGAAACCACTTCAGATCACGGCAGTGGAAACGAAAACCCTTCGAGGTGGTTCACTTTTCGTTTATTTACCCCGGAGCTTTACATAAAGCTTGTGACAACCTGGAAGGTGGGGTCGTTCTAGGTTGCCAGAGGGAAAGCATGGGCGGGGCAGGGGTCTTTTTTAGATCATTTAGGCTCCATGACTCCTTCGACAACTCCATCTTCCCTTGAAGAATAGGACTTGTGAGCATTGCTATTGTCCAGACGAGCCAACTACAAGAGGTTCGCACATTGTCTTGGGGACTGTGGTGGCCATCACCAGTGGCACAGCCTCTGTCACGAGCGTGTATGTCGAGGGGCCCGTCCGTTTCCGAGACCCTCATATTCTCTCTGCCTGGAAAGCAATGCCCTTGACACTCGACATCCTTCCACTTCTTACCGCCGGGGCCGTTCAAAGAGGTGAGATGACGCTTGTCACATCTGCCGAGTCAAGAGATATGTCAAGATCTCATCTCTGTTGGTGATTGGGTTCGGGGCTTCTCGCAACGTCTGGAACTGCGAGATCCCGCACCACCAACGTCAGCGTGCATGTTGGAGACGAACCAACTCCCAGGGGCTCTGATCACCAACCAGCAGCTGAGAGATATTATCAGCTATTCTATACCTGAAGAAGCCTTGTTTCTTCAGTTACCCAACCGGCTTTTTCAGCCTTGTCGACGCCAAATGACGACCGGATGCAGCTGGACCAGATCCGGAGGCTGCACTGCAAAAATGCAGTGTTGTAGTCTGTTCCGGAGGTACCGCATTGATGACTTCTCACACCGCCTTCTGATCACAACCTCCTCACCCAAGCTTCAAATCTTGTGGTATCAAGAAGCGGGAGGGAGACGTAAGGTAAGTGAGCTGGATTCATTCGGCAGTCCAGCGCTGGTGTGATGTCACTTAACCTCCTTGCCTGGTGCTTCAGTGGTTGTGTGAGGTATTGACGTCGGTATTTCGACATGGTAACGGCTGGCTGGGGGAACGGTCGAGCGTCCTAGCACGCAAAATCGTGCCTGTCGCACGCTACAATTGATGAGGTTTGTTATGTTCCTTGGTTTGTAAAGTTCACTCAACCAAAAACGAAGTAGGGCAAGAAAAAAAAGAGAAGAATCCCGAGTCCAGGAATCGAACCTGGTCCTGCGACCCCCGATGAAGGGCTTGGAATACTCTCCCAAGTGCCAATCCGCGATGCACCATTACACCAACTCGAGTTATTGAACTGTCTTTCCAAAGTAATTCTTATACGTGGTAGAGACCTCCGAATGGCAGTTCCATCCATCTCATCTTCGTCTGGTCCCGCGCTGGTGACTCCTGTCATCGGACTGTGCATGCCTCTGCCGGAGTCCAGTTCCACGTTAGAAGGATCCAAAAAGCTTGATGGGCACCGGGTAGGCATGGGCTAAGATGGTTCCAGGTTGTTAAGAGCTACGCTATCCGAGAAAATGAAAGATAAGTACGGGTATAACGGATAGTGTCATTTCAAGTAGTTCACCGGTGCAGCAGCTTTGGACACGCGGCTCGTAAAGGAGGCGGATAGTGAGGTTAGGCCAGTTGAAGTCCCTCGCTAATGAAGAGATGTGTAAACACGAGTGTAAGGGAACAATAAAGCAAGGCAGCGCATAAAAGGCATCGTAATGCCGTCAATTCTCTAGTCATCCGATCCGTACCATCCATCCATCGCATCCCGATACCAAGGTATCTACAAAGAGCACCAGACAGCTTTTGTTTTCCTTCCGTATTGTGTACCGTCAAGGACAAGGCACACAGTCCATGCCCTCTGTAACTCCCAAACTCCGTCATCACGCAATCCCTCTCAGTCCTTAAGACTGAAGTCAGAGGAGCAATTCCACCACCCCTCTGAAACCCGCTCGCAACCGCAAAGCAATGAAAAACATGCTTCTTAAGAGACAAGAGCCGTTTATGCCCTCATAAGCCGTAGAGAAAGCCTCCCTGCCGGACATTACCACCTCGTCTTCCTCGTTTCGTGCCAGGCCAAACATTATAATTAGGAAAACAACGCGGAAAAACAAAGCTCTGTTGCCAAACCGAACCAAGCAACCCTTCCCGCCTGGTCTTTTCGTGAACGTACCGGCGCTAAAAAGCAAAATGAGAAAAGCAAGCCGTATATGAGGGCACATTACTCAAATGCCCATTGAACACCATGCTGAATGGCGAGATCGAAACCCGCGCCAAGAAGTTAAAGTCGAGAAGTGCTTCGTGCCGGTCGGTTCGTCAGCCCCCAACTCAGTAATACCGATAGACAGTATGTTGAAGTTCGGCTTTAACGACCACAGCCGGGACTGACTACGAGTTCTCGACGTCAGCGGGCGCGGCCCGAGAGGCATATTCCTAGGACGCCTCCGTGGGAGCATCCGCCGCGACTTCAGGAGTCTCCTCCACAGGATCCGCAGCAGCATCGTCGAGGCGGGCTTTCTTCGCAGGCCGACCCTCCTCAGCGGGATCGGTTTTGATGGAGGTGATGCCCTTGGCCTCGTTGAGCTCCAGCTCCAGTTCATCGAGACGGCGCTTCAGCATGTTCTCGCGACGGTGACTCTCCTCGAGCTCATTGCGCAGATTGGCTTCGTTTTCACGAAGCTGAGCCACTGTCTGTCCCACATTGCTCTCGTCGTGCTCTAGCTGCTGGAGGCGGCCGCGATACAGCTCTTGGATGACTTCGAGTTCGCTAACGCGCGTCTTAAGGCTGGCGTTCTCTGCAAGGATAGTCTCCTGTGTGGGTGGGTGGTCGCCGTTCAGATCGGTAGCGACACGTCCATCGGCGGCAGACATGGCGAAGGCCATGCCAGACTGAGCCTGGAATTGGCCGTCCATGTCCGGATAGACCATGTTGTACATGTTCGGTGTGCCGGTGCGAGAGATGGGGGAGTTGTCGTCGACGTGGCCGTTGGCGGACCTGCCAGAAGGGCGCCGGCCACCGAGACCGGGCGTGCCTGTGGGCATGGTGGCTCCATTGTTATCGGTGCCGGCAAGGTCTGAGACAGGTGGGAAGGTAGGAGCCTGCGATGCAAGGGTTAGGGTCGCGTCGCTAACCACGGATTGATGGGAAGGAGCACTGCAACGTACCTTCTTCTGTTTGTTGAGCTCGTTGCGCGACGTCTTGACGCGATTTCTACTCTTGATCACGTCCGTTTTCAGCGAGATGGGACGAGGACGACCGTGCAGCTTCAGGAATAGACCGCAAGCGTTGCAGAGGACGGATCCCATCTCGTCGCGACGCCATAGAGGCGTGGTGGAGGTCTGACAATTTTGGCAGGTCGGCTGCGTGAGATCGCGATTATCGTTAGCCATGGTTGCCATGTTGGGCAGTTTAGGGGGTTGAGGAAAGCAAGTCGAACAATCGGTATCGCGACTATGAAGATGGACGTGATGATTATCGACGAGGGTCGATGGGTGCGAGATAGTGATAAGGACGTGATAAGGACGCAAGGTGGAGGATTTTTCTCGGGGAAAATTTTGGCACTCGCCCCCAGGTTCTGACGATAAGAGCCGTGCACGGGCCACTGGACCGAAAGACAAATGGACGACACGTCGAATCTGCGACCAATGAAACGCCAGCGATTTCAATCTCTTATCGTTGTGCTTATCAACAAATGACGGAAAATGCGGGACGGGGCATTTGAGGAATGGCATTGACGGATGAGGAGTCGCAATGCCTGTCGCAAGATGAGGATAAGAAAATAAGGTGTGCATCGACTTACCACTCCATTTCCACCAGGACCTGCAGTACTGGCTGGCGATGACCGAGTGTAATCGTTATGCGTCAGGAATGGGATAGACTTGGACGTGCTGCGGATAAATCAATCAGCAATTGTATCCTCTCAACCACTCTCCGAAGGATCTGAAGTGGTCTTACATGGGCTGCTGGTAGTTGTTAAGGTGCTGCTGGTTGGTATTCGGAGTGGCTTGCAGGGAAGAGATGCCGGGAAGCGTATTAAATGCGTGCGAGGCAGACGTCTGTGTTGATGTCGAGGCCGGGCGTGAGATGGGCTCAGTCATTGCAGCCATTGGTGCCGGCGCATCGGTCCTCGACGGCGGCCTCGAGAGAGGCTCGACAGCAGGCGGCTCGGGCGAGAAAGTGGGCGCCGACTCCGGTGCAGAGAGCTCCTCGGACATGGAAACCGGCGGCGCCGTGGAAAGCTGATGCTCCTCCATCTTATGTTCGCTTGACGCACCTCAATATCGGGGACTCGATCGGACGGATGGATATGGCGTTCGGGGAGGTGTTGTCTTTGGACTTGCGACGACGACGCGGCTCGGCGGGTATTGGGTCAAAGAGGCGATCGAGGGCCAGATAAATTCGGGTTGACAGATTTGTTCGGGTGAAGGCAGGAGCAGATCCACCACGAGTGCAGCGACGTTATGGCGCGGTGAGCAGCTATGTCGGTGGGTGAAGCGAGGAATGTACTGAAACGAGTGACTGCGGGTGAGTGTGGAAAGAAGTGACAACCTTCTCAGATTGTTCTCTTAGACATGGCCATGAAGTATAATTGATATCTGCAGTGTATCTGAGATCAGGGGAGTAGCAGAAAAGGAGACGTCCCAAAGGTAAAATGTCATAGACAAGCAGCCCCTTACAGATGCCGGAAGATGAGAACGTGTGCGACCCAGCCGTATTTTTCATGAAAAGGATGACAAGGATCGCGTTCTGCAAATGCTGTATTTGTCTATTTCCGGCATTCTCATTGGTCCGCCAGCTGGGTCGCCCCTTGCAGTCCCAGCCTGACGAGCAGTGATAGAGGCACTGACACTACAAATACAGCTCCATGTAAGTCCTGAAACTCCTCTCCTTCAGGAGAGGAGAACAGCAAGATTCATAGATCTACGGCAAGTTCGATTAAGGCAATGTTCTTGCGTCTTGAAATGCAGCTAGTCGTCCGTCGCAAATAGCTGGGCCAATCAATCTTGATGGGTGAAACTGATAAAGATACACAGTAATGATCGGAAGGAGATGTGCTAGCAGGGGTCCATGCAGCGGGGCAAGGCTGACCCTCTTGAAAGTCCCGTTACCTCTGATCATTGGTTGAAAAATGTCTGGGACGCCCCTCCGACTACAAGGCTGACAGGAAATTTTATCTGCGCGCAAGAACATTTACACCCCGGTTCGAAGAGAACAGGATTCTAGCTCGAAAGTTGCCCACTTCTTCGACTACAATTATCCAAGTTTGCAGGGCACCGAGTTCGAATCATACCAGTATACCCTCCTGCACAGGAGCCATGCCTCACTCAGACCATGACGGTCCTCTGGTCAAGAGGCAGAGGACAACTGCTGTTGCAAAACGGCAACCGGCCTCTACTCGGGGGTCTGCCATCTTTGCCCCTTTCAGGGTACGTCGCAACCATTCTTTAGCTGCGGTGACACTATGTTAACCACTCGCGCAGACTGTAGGACTTGTATCTCCCACCGAGGTTCCCTTCAGCTCCATACCACTCGGCAAGACCACCTTCCAAATCACAACCTCCGTCGGCCGATCCCTCCAGACGTACGATCTCAAGCGCGGACTCAACCTCGTATTCATTACACGACCCCAAACACCTGCCGATATTACCGCGACTTTTTCATGGAAGAAGAAGGTCTTTGCCGCCTGGGGCGACAAGACCAATGGCGGTTCGCAAGGACTCTGGATCTTTGAGCGCGGAAAGAAGGTTGGCGATCTCCAGTTACCGGATGATCTGGACCAGCCCATAAAACAGATACTCATATTCGGGTCTTGGATTGTTGCTTGCGCTCGGACACGGATAGAAGTCTGGAAATCAGGCGACTTCGAACACTATACAACCTTGCACTCAGCGGCCAGCACACGCGGAGACAACGAGCTTACCGGCGGCATGGTGAACATGCCTACGTTCCTAAACAAAGTATTTGTTGGTCGGGGCAACGGTTGGGTTGAGATCTGGAACGTCAGCACAGGCAAGCTGATCTACACCATCCTGCCTCCGGCACCAGACTGTGGCGCCGTGGTGTGCATGGAACCTACTCCTGCGCTTTCGCTCCTCGCGATCGCCTACTCGCGCGGCCCTCTTATAATACACAACGTCCTCCTCGACAAGACTGTCCTGCGGCTTAACGCTTGCAACGAGGACGCCCCTGTCAACACGATATCCTTCCGCAGCGACGGACAAGGCGCAGGTAACGACGGCAGAAAGGATGGTGTCATGGCCACCGGAACGGCTGCCAGCGGCGATGTGACATTCT